CCCCCCCCCCCCTCTCTCTCTCTCTGCCCCTCTGTGTGTGTGTGTGTGTGTGTGTGCAGGCAAATGAGTATGAGGTGCTGATGCTGCTAATGGCAGAATGTCGAGGTCGGCTGAGCAAGTATTCCTCGACTATTGACGATGATACTCGACTTCTCCGCGACAAGGTGAGAAGTATCTCTGGATATGTGCTTGACTCTTGTCTCTTATCACTGTCTATCTGTTCGCCTAGGGAATTAGGAATGGATAACAGTGCTTTCATCCATAATTCTCAAACCGGACACTGTGCAGTGGAAGGCTATCTTGTAGTTGTTGAAGTGATACTATAATGGTGATTCCTTCTTTTTCACCTTTCTTGTACTTGTTCTACTGACGATATGACAATATGGTGGTGGCCAGTGCTTCTCGCCTTAGCAGGCCATGCAAGGACGCTTATATTATGCAAACTAGGGACACCTGGCAGTCCCCTTTCTTTTCCATTTTTTTGAATTTTGTTCTTATCTGTCCTCGTTTTTTTTTGTTTTTTTTTTAATTCCTCTTCTCCTGTGTGTGTGTGTGTGTGTGTGTAGTCTGTAGTGTGTGTCAAATCAGCACATAAACGCATCACTCGTAATTGAGTCGTAAAGAATGGGATCTAAGTTCATCTAACCATAGCTTTGCAGAGCAAGATAGCATGCAGCCAATCCGATAACTTCAATAACTTCGACAAGTATACACAACGGAATGCAAAAAGGAAGGTTGTAACAACAAACATTTTTCAGTCAAACAAGCAGAGAGCAATAAACAAACAAACAAACAAACAAACAAACAAACAAACAAACAAACAAACAAGTTTCTACTACTTTTTAGTATAAAACACGACCGCACAGAGCCAATGTCAGGGGCAAAATGCCGCCCACTGTTGAGGGTGATGTTATTCTTGAAGCGCTTTTCACTGCTGCGCCTTGCACACTCGTCACAAGGATCAAACTATTAAGCAAAAAGTTTTTTCATAGAGAAACAGAAAATAATATATTCAATATTAAGGCTACTATCTAAGTGGCCTGATTCGTTCAGACTGGTGCTCAGCCTCCCGGGGCCTACCGGAAGCTTCTGGGCTGGGGCCAGGTGCAGCCTGGTCGGACGCAGCAGGCAGGCCACTTCCATTTAGGAAAGTGCCTGCCCCCGAATTCGATATTCGGGCACTGGCTGCATGCTGCGCAAGCGCTGCTGCGCCATACGGGCGAGCTGGAAGGAGCAGGCTGCCATAGCCGAGCTGCGCTGCTGTATGCTGGATGGGGCGCATGGTGGTCCTTGGGTGCACGTGGCATCTGTGAGTGAGGGATCAAGGTTGCGAGTGATACGAGAGACATACCTGGTGCTTGAGGCGAACGGCATTGGCCGAGGTCTGCTCGTACTTCGGGGAGCTGTTGATGTCACCAGCGGCATTGTAGATAGGCTAGATAGGATCTGCCATTTGTAGTCTGGGCGCAGAGCGCCAGATAGGATATCGACATTGGTTCTTTGTTGATGATGATGAGACTATTGCAGCATTGTCACTCATGAGCTTTTGCTGTGCTCTCATTTGGTGGAACTCGTGTTGCAATTCTGCTTTTGGTTCGAGGTCACGACCATCTGGTCACATGTGTATGATGCTGCTTGGTTTCTGAAGTTCGCTATCGCTCATTTTCCTTGCACAGTGAAGCACAGCGCAGGGAGGAAATGCGCTGGACAACAAGTGGAAGCAAGGCACATAGGATGGAGGGCATGGGGGAGGCGGTTGGGTAGACAAACCGCACAAGGCAGCGAGGGAGAAGCGAGCCAAGGGCAGCAAGGCAAAGGCAGAGCGAGGCAAAAAGCAGAAGATGAGAAACGTACAAGAATCAAACTTAAGAAGACAAAGAGCGGTTGTCCTTCGCGACATCCATTGAAATTGGAACGATACAGAGAAGATTAGCATGGCCCCTGTGCAAGGATGACACACATAAATTGAAAACTAGTGCAACATTTTGGGAGGGGAAAAGACGAAGAGCGGAAAAAAAATAAAAAAAACAAATAAACGAAAACGGGTGGTGACAGACTGCTTGTTAGCACTTGCACTGACTCATCAGGTGGCTGAACCCTCAACAATCTGCAGAATCCCCATACTGATGATTTGAGTCATGAACTCTTTAAGCCCCTGTTGAAAGCAGACGGACTGCAGCACCCACAGCAAAGCAATGACACAGCGAGCCACAAGGCAGTGCTGACAAAGCAGCCAGACTACAAGGCAAACGAGTATGCCGCAACGGAAGACAAGGCAAAGCAAGCAAGTGGACGGCCAGGCAACAGCACGGCGAAGCACAAGGCAGCGGTAACAGAGCAGCCAAACTGCACTGCAAACAAACCAGCTGCAAGGGAAGACATTGGGAACAGAATGGGCAGCAAGGCAGCGGAGGAGCGTAGACAAGGCGGTCCACACATCCATCACGGGCCACAGAAGTCGATCACATACTTTCACCAGAAGCAGAACCCTGCCCCGCAGACTGTTGGTTTCCACCACCCTCAGAGCTGGGAAGGCATTCCGATGAAAGTCTGTCATCACACAGACCATGCGCCACAGACATCCGAGCAGTGCTGCCCCCCGAATAGTGCTCCAGGCACTCCAATCGACTAACCACTGACTGTTTACCACTCCTTAGAGGTGCACACTTAGACACCCGGAAGTAAGGAAAAAAGGCAAGGACGCCCTACATAAAACTGATTGTGTGTGTGTGCGCTCGTGTGTGCGTGCATGTGTGTGTGCATGTGTGTGTGTGTGTGTGTGTGTGTGTGTGTGTGTGTGTGTGTGTGTGTGGTGTTCATAATGATAAGAAACCACAGGGATCAGGCTTCACATTAGACGACCTTGCCCAAAACACCGCATCGCAACGTTAGGCACGATGGAACACAAGACCGGCATTCAAAGAATATATCTGTACGGACGAACCAAGTCCTCATGGCAAGACCTCGGCCCAACAGTTGAAAGAGCAGGGATGGATCAAGACGAAAGACAAACAAACAACAGTAAGGCAAAGGGTAGGAGGAAGCAACAACAACAGACAAAGGCTGGAGGGCATGAGGGAGGCGCGTGGGCAGACAAACAAAGCTAGGCAGCACAGAAAACAACAACATGCCAAGCAAAAGGATTGGGAGGTCAAGCAACTGCAAAGAACACAGGCTGGAGGGCACGGGGGAGGGTGGGCAGACAAAACAGCACTAGGAAGCAAAGAACAAGACATCACGCCATGAAGCAGCAAGACCGAAAAAACAGCAAGGCAAACAGGAAAAGTACAAGTCATAAAAAAACGCAAAGACTGAAAAAAACTAAAACAGATGAAGAAAGATTGTTCTGTCGGAGTTGCACCGACTCATCAGGAGGCTGAACCCTCGACAATCTGCAGAATCTCCATATTGATGGTTTGTGTCATGAACCCTTTGACCCATGTTGAAGGCAGAATGTCCAGAAGCGGAACACAGCAGCTGGGCAACAACTCAGTGAAGCACCAGGCAACGCTGCCGGAGCAACCCGACTGCATAACGCCAAAAACGACTGCAAGGAACGACACGGCAAGCGGACGAGCAGCAGGGCAACAGCACGGCGAAGCACAAGGCAGCACCAACACAGCAGCCATACTACACTGCACACAAGCAAGGAACACGGAAGGCATGGCACGCGGATAGGCAAGTGGACGAGCAGCAGGGCAACAGTGCGGCAAAGCACAAGGTAGCACCAACACAGCAGCCACACTACATGGCACACAAGCAAAGAACACGGAAGGCACAGCACGCATATGGGCAGCAAGGCAGCAGCGCAGCGAAGCACAGGGCAACACGAACACCACGACCGCACCACACAGTGAACTCAATAGCCTTGCAAAAAAGTACATGCAACACAAGCAGGACAGGCAGCAAGGCAGCAAGGCAGCGGCGGAGTGCAGACGAGGCAGTCTACACATCCAACACAGAGCAAAGCGGCACATCACCTACTCACATCATGGTTGAACCCTGCAGACTGTTGGTTCCCACCACCCACTGAGCCAGGGAGTTACCCAGACGAACATCCGTCATCAGCCATAGGCAACACATACATCTCAACCAGCACCCCCCCTAAGAGTGCTGTGGGCGCTCCAGAACTGTGTGTGTGTGTTTGTGTGTGTGTGTGTGTGTGTGTGTGTGTGTGTGTGTGTGACAATATAATAGAAAATGCAAGGTTGGCCACGTTTGTGTGGTTCAGCGCCAAGTGCCCACACACCCGTCTGCCGCCAAAGCGGCACACTTGCACATATGTGTGTGTGTGTGCTCATTTAAATGCATTGCTTTATCCCACATCTGGACGAAAATTGCTGTCTCAGAGAAGAGGCATGCTAAATTGCCACTCGAAGCTTTTGGTCTCTGCTGAGCCTGCTGCTTGCAGGTCCTGCTCTATGCATTCACGCCCGTCTGCGCACACGACGGGGTCATTCACCAAACAGACTCGTTTATTGGTTGCACTGACTGATGCTATGACTTCTCAGTCTCACAAGTCATGATTGCAGATGGGTATAGCATATGCAAGAAAGCATATTGTGGCATTCACAGTTCCACACGGGCCCCTGCAGGGCCCGACTGGTAGGACTAGGGGTTGGTTTAGGGGTCAGTGACCAGTGTCATTTCGTCCCGTGTTAGGGCCCGCAGGGTTAGTAGGACAGGTTAGGTCTGTTACCGGTCCAGATTAGCACCGGCACGTTGAGAGGCCCAGTTAGGCTTGGATTAGCAGTCAGGCCGATCAGGCCCAGTATTGTTTGGGTGCCAACTTCGTTTAGGTGCCAGTTTACCGTTTGGGCACCAGGTCTGTTTTGGGTGCCGGTTCTCCCTCAGACACTGGTGCAGTTTCGGACTGGTAGAGGCAGCCTCCCAGCCGACCAGCGCTATTTATAGTTGGGTCGCCTAGGTAGAGGCAGGTAGTTTTCAGCAGTAGCCGTAGTTGACGCGCTGGGCGCAGTACCATTCGATTAGAGCGCTGCGCGCTAGTAGAGGTTGACGACATCAGTAGAGGTTCGAGCTTGGACTACAGCACGCTGCAGCGGGTGTTAGCGGAGCAGAGGTTGGCGGAGGCCAGGGGACTTACCTGTCGACTTACGTGCGACGCCATAGCTCCAGCTTCATCTTCAGCGCGTCCATACCTGCATCAGGGCGCCACCTTTCTGCAGGTTAGTACCTGGCATACGTACAGAGAAAGAGAGAGAGAGGGGGTTGCTTTTTCTTCTTCTTCTTTCTCTGCCTGTTCTCCATCGCTCCTACTCTTCTTCTTCTGAGGGGTGTGTGTGTGTGTGTGTGTGT